TGGTGTTTTGAACCCACCCGGAAGTGCCCTGAAAGACAGGCCTGGCAATCTGCTTCCAAAAGGTCACAGCCTTGAAAACCCTATGGAGCAATTCTACTCTGCAAGCATGGGGTTGCCATGAGTTGGAATCCACTTGGTGGCAACTAAGAACAACATGCAAGTTTTATAAAATCCATAAGATACTTTCCTAGGTAAAAAAAGAACTTCCTCGCAAATTAAAACACCATTGTAATTCAAAGAAAAACAAAACTAAAATTTATTCAGCTCTCACACATTCATTTCAAATCACTGGATTATGATTCTTCTCTTGAAATTAAAGGAGCAGTCTACTTAAAGTAACACAGAAATAACAACTATTAAGAAAGATAATTTAAAATAATCTGCCCCTCAAAAGAGAGTATTGAATGAAATGATATGATAGCTGGGATTTGCTTAAAATATTCCCTTAAAAAAAGGGAGCTAGAGGGAACAAAATGGGCAAAATGCTGACAACTGTTCAAGTTGCGTGGTGGGTACAAGGGATTCATTACTTTATTCTCTCTACTTTAGTATATGTTTGAAAGGTTCTTTTGAAAAAGGACTATCAACTTTCTCCGAAGTCCTGCTCCCATCAGATGTCTAACTAAATGACGCTAGGTCTAGCAAGGTCCTATAAACAGTAAAACAGAGATCGAAACAAACTTCGTGAAGAATGCAAAATACTGGTGCTACACAAAGGTGCTAGTCCTTCCACAGGTGTGATTCGCTGGTGGCACAAATGGTTAAGTGCTTGGCTGCTGATGGAAAAACTGGCGATTTGAACCTACCCAGCCGTGCTGTGGGAGAAAGACCTGGCAATCTGCTTCCAAAAAGATTACAGCATAGAAAACCCTATGGGCAGTTTTACTGTCACATGGGGTCACTATGAGTCAGAATCAACTCGACAGCACACAACAGCAGCAGCTTCTCTCTGAGCAGGAGCCAGCCAATGCATCACAGGGCTGGGTTACTGCTCAAACTACTCTTTCGGGGGACATATACACCCAGGATTTGTCTACCTAAAGTCATCCAAGAGCCTGGGATACTTTCCACAATGGAGGAGAACTTTAACCTGGATGCTTCTGATGAATACCAGTTAGGCTACATAGATACACCACCACCCATCCATTGCTGCTAAGTCGATTCTGACTCAGACCAACCCTATAGGACAGAGCAGAACTGCCCCACAGGGTTTCCAACACTGTAATCTTTATGGAAGCAGACTTCTACATCTTTCCTCCACAGAGTGGCTAAGTGTTTGAATCGTCAGCCTTTTGGTTTGTAGTCGAGCGCTTAACCACTGTGCCATCAGGGCTCCTGGATAGGTACAAAGCTGGAAATTGCTGTAACTCAGGGCAATTCCCAAGGTTGACCAAGAAAATGTTTTGAACACTACTCAGACCTCTTAACAATATTTAATGTAATAGCTCTCTCCCACCTCAACAGAATACTTCCAGAGTTCTTTTAAAACATAAAGCACTGTTTACAAAGACTACAGAGTTTTCTCAAACATCAACTGCAGTAGCATTTCCTCTCTAGTCTGGCATCGACAACAATCTAGGTTCCTCAGTTGGAATATAACTCAGTTTATTTATCTAGTCTTCAGCTGATGGATATTTGGGTTGTTTCCAGTTTGGAGTTATCATGAATAAGGCTGCTATGAAATGCTTGTACAAGTCTTTTGATAGACACAGGCACTTATTTCTGTAGTATATATACCAGAAGTAGAATTGCTGGGTCATAAGGTATATATATATGTTTAACTTCAGCAAACACTGCCAGTTTTCTAAAGTGGTTGTAGCCTTTACATTCTCAGAGCGGTGCTTGAGAGTTCCAATCGCTCCACATCCTCAGCAACACTTAGTATTGTCGATCCTTTTAATTTCAGTCATTCTGGTGGATGCTGGATACTTTGAAGACTCCATAATATCCAGGAAACAGTAATCCTTCTGAATTATTAAAAAGTCAGTATCAGTGGTTACCTCTAGTGTGGAGGGGCGTTATGATGGGAGTGGGGCACGGGGGTCTTTGAGTACTAGTTATAGTCCATTCTTGCTCTAGGGAGGTGATTACATGGGTATTTTTCATTATTATTCTTTATCTGAATTATATGACATTTTGCAATTTTTTTAAAAAGGGGAAATCTGTTTAAGAAAAGGCTGCTACTGAGCTACCCCTCCCACCGCTTCATTTCTCCCACGCGTCTTTGGTGAAGGGCAACCCCACAGAGAGAGAGGGTGCCCCCGGTGGGAGTCCACCTTCCCAACCTCCTGGAGTGTCTGAAATTGAGTGTTTGAAAACATTGTAGACAGAGCTCAAAGAAAGTTCAAATTATCCTTAAAGTCACTTGGATGAAAACAATCCCCACAGTGTAGAACACAAATTTTGCATTAGTATTCACTCAGTCATTCAACAAATATTTACGTTCTGGCTCCTTTAATGCTTGCTTTAGTTTCAAAAGAGCTCTTCAATCCTTAGCCCCAATCCTTAAGTAATAAACCAATTGCCATCAAGTCGATTCTGACTCATGGTGACCCTATATGTGTCAGAATAGAACTGTGCTCCACAGAGTTTACAACAGCTGATTTTTCAGAAGTAGATCGCTAGGCCTTTCTCCCAAGGTGCCGCCGGATAGACTCAAACCTCCAACTTTTGGTTAGCAGCCGAGTGCACTAACTGTTTGCACCACTCAGGGACTCCAATAAATGACAATTACCATTTATTAAATACCTACTATATGATCAGAACTATGCTATATACATTATCTAATCCTCATAAAAATCCAAAAACAAAATCCCTTGCCATTGAGTCAATTCTGACTCAGTGACTCCACAGGACAGAGTTGAACTGCCTCATAGGGTTTCCAAGGCTGTAATCTTTATGGAAGCAGACTGCCACATCTTTCTCTCACGGAGCAGCTGGTGAGCTCAAACTGCCAAACTTTTGGTTAGCAGCCAAGGGCTTAACCACTGTGCCACCAGGGCTTCTCTAATCCTAACATCCTTGAAAATTAGGTAATATTATCCATATTTTACTAATGAGGAAACTAAGACTCAGAGAAGTTAAAAAACTTGCCAAGGCCACACAGCTAACAGGAAGCAGGAAAAGATGTGACTCTGTCTCCCGACTAGGTCTCAATCCTCTTCCCAGTCTCTCTATACCAAACCCCTAGCTCACCATACTGCCTCCAGAATATGAAAATGTTGCCAGTCCTACTCACACAGAAAAGTCCAACAATGTATCTTCTTCCTTTCAACTGAAGATTCAGAGAAGACAACCAAGTAAACCCATACTCCAGCTTTAAAACTAGTCACAGTTTGAAACAAAATAACATTTCTTCTCAGGGCAACACTAACTGCAGGACAAGGAAAAGCCACCCTTCTTTGAAGGCAAACTGAACCTAACATAGGTCCCTCACCCTACACCAATGCCACCACTATCTAGTTCCTGTTTGCCATTCCTTACTGACCCCACCCTATTCAATAACTAGATCAAAGAGTAGGGAGAAGGAAATGGAAAACTAGCCCTGGTGGCACAGTGGTTAAGAGCTCATCTGCTAACCAAAAGAGCAGTTCGAATTCACCAGCCACTCTTTGGAAACGCTATAGGGCAGTTCTACTCCGTCCTATAGAGTCACTATGAGTCAGAATTGACTCAACGGCAAGGGGTTTAGTTTCTGGGGGGTCTATACCCTACCACTCATCCCCCCATTAGGAAATCTCTTGAGTGACTATCAGTCTGTAGTACAGAAGGACAAAGAAGTAGAGAAAGACTGTATAGTGTCCCTTCACTCATGTGTATTTGTTAAGAAGAGAAAATAGAATGAGGCTTAGTAACGAGAATAAAGTCATCTCAACTCTCACTATCCCCTGTAACTCACCTCCTCTTGTCTACATGCTAGTTCCTTTAAAAAAAGAAAAAAAGAAAAAAAAAAAAGCCGAACAAGTTGCGACTGAGTTGATTCCAACTCATGGCGATTTCATGTGTGTCAGAGTAGAACTGTACTCCATAGGGTTTTCAACAGCTGATTTTTCAGAAGTAGATCACCAGCGCTTTCTTCTGAGGTGCCCCTGGGAGGACTTGAATCACCCTTTCAGTTAACAGCTAACCATTTAACCATTTTGCCTCCCAGGGACTTGTGTGCCATCAAGTCGATTCCAACTCATGGTGACCCTAAAAGACACAGTAGAACTGCCCCCCAGAGTTTCTTAAACTGTAATCTTTACGGAAGCAGATAGCCAGCTCTTTTCCCCCATGGAATAGCTGGTGGGTTTGAACCGCAGACCTTTCAGTTAGCAGCTGAGTACTTAACCACTGCACCACCAAGCCTCCTCCCACAGACTTATCACCCCTAAATCCCTGATTTCACTGACCATGTATCACTGTCACCCCATCCAAGCCATAGAAACCATCAATTATCTAGAGTCGGGGCAGTTCCCACTACTGCTGCTTCACAGGTATGAGAAGGAAACGACCAATCAGCAAGTCAGCTACAAGTTCAAAATTGGAACTCTGTCCATATTTTCCCACAGAGTTGTTGTTATAAAAGTTAGTTGGGTTCTAAGGCATTATAATACTGCCCTCATGTAGGTGAGGGGTCACAAGCTTTTGGGGGATGATCTGAGACACTAAGCAGCATCTATAACATGGTTTCTATGCAAAATGTGGTTCAAGCCCCAAACAACTGATTAACAAGAAAAACTTTTAGAAATAAAATTGTTGTATGTTGGGTACTAAGTTATACCCACTAGCCCGCATTTAGGGGACTGACATTTATTTCCTATCCATTTTGGAAAGGACAGGAAGTCCTAAATGACCAGCATATAGGCTGCTAGCATATAGTCTGCTACATGACTGTACTAACAATCTTAATTCAAAATGCACATTTTAAGAAATATTCAGCTTATTAAACTGTAGTAAACCAGAAACGGTCCGTTCAGTAACTTCCATGATAAATGTGATGTTAAAGAGGTCATGTTCACCTTTCCTTCTGAGAAATCATGTATCCATCTAGGACTCTGAGATTTAAGCACCAGCTGACGATGTACGGCCGATAGTCAAAGCCTGGAATGGAAGGTGTTGCCATCACACAAGGATTGTTCATAATCGACAACTGTTCCAATTCACTTAAGGATGCCAAAAAAGAGATCTGGAACGAAGGACATCTTTGTTGAATAAAATGGACTATTCAGTGTCAAGTACAGGGCTTCTGCTGGTTACTCATCTTTGACAGAATTTGACAATAGAACAACTTCCCTCTTGTTCTGCAAAGTAACAACGCTCTTCTATTGTCCACTGACTTTTAAAATTCCAACAATATGGCCATCTGTTCTTGCTGCACGAAGTCCCTTAGAAAATATCAGCACTATTTCCTAACAGAGAAAACCCTATCTTAAAAATGTAATAACAGCCAGGACATGGTAGACATGGCATCTTATTAACCCTTTAATGCAGATGTCCCTCTACCACCAATCATCTCCCAATGGAATGATAACTGCAGCATTACAAATAAAATTAAGCCTTAATATCCCACTGGCATTAAGCAAAAGTGGAAAGAAAAACAACATTTAGAGTCAAGTGTTTCTTCTTGATAACGGTTTCTTTCAAGATGTTCACAGTGTAAAAATGAGCTCAAAACCTTCTCCTGCATCCCCCCCTGGATTGCCAGCTTCCTTGATCCCACAGAATGCCCTCAAATTTTACCTCGTTTAAGTCTCGGATTTCATTTTCTGCCAAGGAAAGTATAGCAAGATTTCTGGGTAGATAAGCAGGTGTCATTCTAAGAGAGGTGATGATGTTTCCATGTAAAAGCAGGGTCTTGAAAGTAAAAACAGGATGAATTACAAATCAAAAGATTACAAATAAATTGGTCTATTTTAACAGCGCCAAAATGGTGTAAATGAGAACAAAGGAACCCGTTTTGTTATCCTTCTCACTGCACACAAATTAAAGACGGCTGATGTCACAAGGGCCCTAGATGGTCTTCCAGTCCAACTTCCTCTTTCCACGGCAGCATCCTAAGCCCAAGAAAGTTTAGACTTTCCTAAGAAACATGTTTGGTGTAGCAACTAACACGCTGCAAGATTTAAGTTAGTAGGCACTGAGCAATTTCCAACACACTTTTTCACCTCCTTATAAAAAGAATCAAAATAGACGGTGAAAAAAAAGACTCATTACAACAATCGCACATGCAGCAAATTTTTCAAAAGAGAGAGAAAGATAACTTACAACTCATAATTTGCAACTGTATTCTCTTGGTAGCTAAAAATTCAAGGGAGGTAGAATATGCTACTGGCAGACGAAGCTGACTGAAATTAAGTCAGCAACAATCAAGAATAAATCCAAAAGGAAGAGTGTGCTATCACAGTATAGGGAGAGCAACTAGGGTCACATAACAATGTATGTATAAATTTTTGTATGAGAGACTAACTTGAATTGTAAACTTTCACTTAAAGCACAACAACAAAAATTAAAAAAAGAATCAATCCAAGACTCTGAATCCCCAGAATTCTGGTAAGATAATCACGCCTCCACTGCAAAGAAAAAAAAAAAAAGGTTCACTCATCCTTAGTTCATCTGAATTCTCTTGAATTCTCTTGACATCTATCAATACAGCATCTGGCTACATCAAATCATTTAGAGTAATTGTTGCTAAAAATGATTTCTATTAAAGTTATGGGGCAAACTGAACTAAACTACTGCTTTCAAGGCTTAATGAGTCCTTCTGGTGCTAATAATATCAAATGAAGCAAAAATATGGAAAAAGCCCTACATATGTTTCTTGAAGCTATGATTCTAATCACTACTTATTTGATGGCATGATATATTCCCCTACATTAAAGTGCTATATGGTACATGTTTTTTAATTAAAGAAAAATTAACTTCCATAATATAATAACATTAAAAACAATTCTGAGTGTCAAAAACAGATTCAGACTCAGCGATGATGACTCCCAAGCTCACCAACACCACATGTTATAAGCTATATAACATGAGTTGCTAGCACTGGCTGGTTGGGCATGAAGGGAATTCCATCCTGTTCAGAGGACAGGACCACAGAGAGGACAATGACCAGTTTTACATAAAATAAATCAGTTACAGAAACTAACAAGAAGAAGTTTCATACTTAATTTCTGGTAAGCCAACAGAATTTTTATCATAATAAACACAATCTGTTCTTCATATGTGGCAGGTTGGTTTCAAGCCAATCGATCACTTTTTTTGGTATGTTGGTGTAAAATTTTGAAAACACACTTACCTTCAAGGATACCAATTTAGATAGATCACCTATCTGGGCTATGTTATTGTCTGATAAATCAAGGTGCTGCAGAGCTGTGCAGGTATTGATTTGTTCCATGGCCTATAGCAAGAAAAGCATTATGTTACCTTGCATATACAAAATCAAAGTATAAAATTCTTCTCTATTCCTTGTAGCTAAAGGAGTCTCCTGCCTCCTCTCTTCATTCCTGGAAGCAGAGGAACATGGCTTAGCAAAAGAAAGAAGAGGCAGTACTAACAAAATTTGGTAAATTGTCATGTTGCAGGCTTCCACCTTCATTATTGTTCTAGGAGCAGAAGGCTAACAAGGAGTTCATATCATCCCAGATATTTACAATTTGAAGAAACTTTAGTGATGACACACGACAGTTTGCATAGTATAGAGTTTACAAGTTACGAGTGGAGCCAGATGGCCTGGACTTAAATCACAGCTCTACAACTTCCTGGCTGTGTGACTTTGCACAAGTTACTTAATGTCTCTGGGCATAATAACTATATCTCCCTCATAGGCTATCATGAGATTGAATGAGTTAATAGAGTTAAGTGTTAATCGTATCTTTTAAAAAAAAAAAAAAAAAACCCATTTCCATCAAGTCAATTCCAACTCATAGCGACCCTACAGGACAGAGCAGAACTGCCCCATACAGTTTGCAAGGAATGGCTGGTGGATTCGAACTACCGACCTTTTGGTTAGCAGCTGAGCTCTTAACCACTGTGCCACCAGGGCTCCTAATCATAGCTAGCACAATTGCTCAATAAAAGTCAGCTATTAATGTCACTTAATATAGTCCCCTCATCTACCATATCAAAACATAAGACACAAAGGTATTTATTAACTTACCCAAAATTATACAGCTACTAAGTGCATGAAGTAGGACCAGAATTCAGATCTCCTGACTTTTGAAACGGTATGTTTTTTATTATACTATTAAACATCCACTTAAGGCTAATTCAGGATGATATAGTCTCCCTCTTAACACTTCAGTCTACCATTTGATCTACTTCTCTAAGTATAATATAGATTCTTTGTTAATACTTAAAAGAATATTACATTGCATTATGTTTCAAAATTAGATTTGTTTTTTAGTTTATGTTAATGGAGATTATCCCTGAGGAGTGGGAGTACTCCCACTTTTTACTCTACTTATTTCTATCCTGATTGAATTTCTTTTTTACAGTGAATACTTTTGTAATTTAAAAAATCACCTTGATATTATTTCCTGCCAAATTCAGCCATTCCAAATGTATTAGCTCCTTTAGTCCTTCCACATAGCCAATGCTATTATGAGGCAAATTTAATACCCGGAGTTGAGTCAGTTTGGCCACACCCATCATCCTCACCAGCCGATTATTAGCCACTGACAACTGTGGGAAAGAAACATCTTGTTATTGTTAGAAGTAAAATATATATCTTACTGTCACCTTTGGGTTAAAAAGTTTCTTTAAATGGCCAAGCATTCCCAAATACATATAGAAACCAAATCTGTAGTTCTCACATACATTATCTAAATATTCTACGATGTAAATATTAGGGGTTTTATCGTCGTTGTTCCTAAGCTCCACAAGAACAAGGTCCTCACCCTGTCTTACTCAGGACTTAGAACAGTGCCACACACATAAGAAAAATACCTGTTGCCATCAAGTTGATTCTGACTTATGGCGACTCTAACAGAGGCTGAATAAACATTTGCTGAATGAATAAATGAATGAATGAACTCTTTACCCCCAGCGTGAGGTAAAAAAAGGTTATCTTTACAACACAATATTTTGTCAACCTAAAATGTTTTCCTTTTTTAGCAATTCTTCTTTCTCTAGTCCACCCTAAACGTAGCACATATGTTTTCACCTCCATGAGAAATTGTTATGTAAAAATTTAAGAGATTTACTGCTTTCCAGGCCTGTAGAGTTATTTTTATTTGGTTATTTTATTGTTTTATTTTGTTTAATAATAAACTGGTCCTAAGTAACTATTTCCCCAGATAATAATATTTACCTGTATTAATCGTCTGCATTTCTCAAGATTTTCCAATTTAATAATCTGATTTTTATCCAGAATCAAAGTATGAATATCAGCTTCACAGGGTAAGTTTGGACCTAATTTCTGTAGTCCTTGTCCTGACCAATTTACCACTGATCCTTGAAAAAGAGAAGGGAAGTTGTTGGAAAACAAAAATAAAGCAAATACAATAGCTGAGCATAAGAATGAAATTATACTTATAAAAAACTTATACATTTAAAGCTAGAAAACGTTGTTGCTGTTGTGTGCCGTCAAACTGATTCTGATTCATACGAGTAGAAAACACTAGAGTACAATAAATATCAAGATTTTAAAAGTAAACCAATCTTGAATTCTATATGACCACAGATTGAAATTATTCACTTTTCCTCAAAAATAAAGCAGTACAACTAGATTTGTGATTTTCTGCTCAAGTTTCTATAATAGTTTAGAATTCTTCACATTTATGTATGAACTATTACATCTGTATTTTATGACTAAATAATGATAGCTTTTTAAAAAATGGAACTAAACTTTTTATAAAGATCAACCTGCTTATAACCTAACTCCCAATATATCATCAAGTACTCAAATTATTTTGAAAATTATAGTTCACTTCTCTCAGGAAAAAGAGAGCCAAGACAAAGGCTATTAACCAAAAGAAGCCTTTTATTAACAAAAGCCTCATCAGCCTTCTTTCAACTTGATAAATGCCTTTGCACATGCTGAGCCAAAACTGCTTTCCTTTCCCAGCTGGATAACAATATAGAGTATGGTCCAAACCAGAAAAATTTTCAGTGAAAAATGATGCTAAAAATCACAAGTCATACAATATTGAAATACTTATTGACTCTTAAATTGATTTTATTGTATTTGTGGGCCTATTCCAAAACTATTTTCAAAAAAAAAAATATTTCTTAAAATATAAAAAAACACACCTTGTATATCACAGCAAAATGAATTTTAACTTTATAGTATTTACATATTAAAAATAAAATCAGTACAATATATCATCTAAATATTCTACAATGTAAATATTAGGAGTTTCATTGTTGTTGTTCAAGTACTTTAATCATTCAAGTACTTTAAGCAGTCTTCTTAGCCATATTTGTCTCCAAAAATGTGTCACTGGTTTTTTTTGGAGGAATATACCTTTTTCAATATGGCTTTGTTATTATCATCATAAAATTGTCTGCAAGCTTCTTCAAAGTTGCATTTAATCTGAAATTTTCGAGAACTCCAAAAAAAGGCATAGTTCAGTTAATTCATCTATAAAATGGGGACAATACACCTATTTCATTAGGCTGATGTATGGATTAAAAGAGAAGCCATATGAACAGCACTTAGCCCTGTTCCTGGCACACAGCACTCAATAAAGTAATAGAACAAACGTTCAAATCCTGGCTCCACTGGTTACCCACTGCGATATCTTAGGCAAATTATTTCGTTTAGGCTCATTTGTCTACTCTGTAAAGTTGGGACGATAATGCCTGCTTTACAATGCTGTTCTACACAGAAAATGAGATAATATAAGAAAAGCACTTGGAACATCCTCTGGCGCATAAAAATTGCTGTGTAAATGTTAACTGCTATTATTGTCAGTAAATTGCCTGGGTAGGCAGAGAAGGTGGAGCTTAATAAAAGCAGATATCACCGGGGGGGCGGGGCCAGATAAACTACCAATTTCAAATTTATACCCAGATTAGGGCTGCGGGAAGTAATTACACTAACATTGCTCCCTGGAGGGTTTCAACTTTTTTCCGCGTCTAAAATGGCGCTTAGTATTTGGGGGCGCATGGGCTTCTCTGACAATCTGAAGCAAGCAACGTACTGTCCCAGGAACATGCAGTCTTTGCACACAATTCCAAGGGGTTTGCCAGACCTCTCAGAACGACTGGATCACCTCCTCCAATCCCCGAACAATTTACGGGTCCCAGATAAAGAGCCCCTGGTGGAGATGGGTCCCGACTCCCGCCCTGACCCCGAACCAAACGGCCGCTGCGGAACCTCGGAGCCGTAACCAAAACAAAGGAGCCCGGCTCACGCCCCAGAGAGGTACCTCCCGGCCACCGAGGAACCCACACCCCGAGCTCCGCTGAGCAGCGACCAAATCCGATCCCAGGACACAGTATGCAATAACGAGGGGTGGAAAACTGTCGGCTCTGGATCACCCCTCAAATTTTATCACGGCCGCTGGCACTTTCAAGGAGGGGTTCAACGTCAGTGTAGGGAAATGTGTTCGAGGCAAGATTTCCTGAATGTTCTAGAAACCGAAGGGAAAGGGGGACGTGGCAGCGAAAGAAGATTCTGCAAATTTCATTTGGGCCCCCGAAACACAAGGCAAATATCCAGAAAAAGACATCGCAATCCGAAACCCACCGGCCAGGCAGCCATGGGAGCACGGGAGCTGGGGCGGCGACCCGCGCGAAGACCCCTGGGGCCTGTAGTCCCTCGCTTGGCCCTCGCCCGGAGGCGAGAGAGCTGGACAGCGCCTGGTGACTACAACTCCCAGAGGGCAGCGCGCCTCCGCGACGCCCACCGCCGCGCATCAAAAGAACTGGTCCAGAGCCGAATCCCTAAACCAGGCTTCCCCTCTCCACCAGGCAACTATTTAATTTGGCTCCGTGGAGTAAAGTTTGGGACCCAGAAGTAGGGACAGCCTTACCTTCTCCGGGAAGCAAAGCCGCATCGACGCGCGCCACCGCCATACTTCCCGCTTCCTAATAATACCAGGCAACCGTCCTCCAGCCGCTCAGTGGAGCTTGTACTCAGGAGGAGGGAGCCGGAAACTACAACTCCCAGGATGCACAGCACCCAGATGACCTAATTGGCTGCTTAACCTTAACAAAGTAAAATCAGGATTAGAAACTCACCGGTCAAGAGCTCCAGAACACTGGTCAACTCCCTCGTTTGACAGATGAGCATACTGCATTATTGGATAATCATTATGCCCCTTTTCTAGGCATTTGCGAAATTTGACACTTTTAGCATGGGGATGATTATAAAGACTACTAAATGCAGACTGAATTTGAGAGCTCATAGAAGTCTCGTGGGGACTGTCACCACTATAGGAATGACTTGAGCTATCTTGTGATAGTCAAATGGATACATTTTATAAAAATTTAGCTAAGCAAAAGGATTTAAAGTATATTGATACAGAAACATTTTTACAATTTTTTAAGCAGTTGTTCTTGAGTATTTAACAGAACTTCTCACCTGGAGGTACATTTAATGAGTAAGTATGACCCCAGAATTTTTCCAGGAAGTATACAAAAGAAATTTAAAATGTATATAGTCTCCAAACTCAAGAATTACACTGCCTATAGGGTCGCTATGAGTCGAAATTGACTCGCCGGCAACAGGTAATTGGACGAGGGTAGGCTCACACTTTTAATAGAATTGTTGCATGCTAAACGGTATAATTGAACTAGGAGCTCAATGAGATTTCAGAGAATGGCAACTATAATCTTCAGGGAAGATTTGATGGAGGAAGTGAAATTGAGCTAGGCTTTAAAAGTTGAGGAGACTCTAAAGTTCAGAAGTAGGCAGTTGAAAAGACATGAGCATATCAATTAGCTAACACAGTTTATAAAGACAATGTTCTACATTCTACCTTGGTGAGTAGTGTCTGGGGTCTTAAAAGCCTGTGAGCGGCCATCTGAGATACTCCAC